TATCTATCTATCTATCTATCTATCTATCTATCTATCTATCTATATCTATCTATCTATCTATCTATCTATTTGCTCTGCAAACGTGTATTTTTTGAGGATCTGTAATTTTACAAACAATTTTTTATTGTAACTTTTACATTTATTTTGTTACATTCAAAACAAAAATATACTTCTTTACTTTAAAAAGTAACACACACTACAAGTTTAAATCATCATGAAAGGAGTTGTTTATGCGCTCTAAGAAATAAGATGTTTAATTTTTACATTTACTCAACTCGGTTTAGTGGAAGCAGTTGACATAACTTGGTTAAATTCAGAACTTCATTTCTTAGAAAGTGTAAAAGTAGGGGAGAATGGGGTTGGTTGTCACATTTTTTTCTTTCATTTAAATTCCCAAAACATGCATTGCTTAGTCCATTACATTTTAATGTGTGATGGAACCTTTAAGTGTCTTGTTGAAATAGAGGAACATCATTCTTCTCAAGAGGATTAATTTCAAAAGATATGCACCACCAAACACGACTTGTGCTTTTGTGAAAACCAACCCCATCGTGCGCTTTGACGCAGTTTACTTGGCATCTTTAAATACATTTCCTCAAAGGTATTTTGAACCTGAAAAGAGCTTCACTGAGTGAGAACTAATGTTGAGAGCTCAGCAGACAGTTAGGTTTCAYTTTCAATTTCACCCGAGAGCCTGCAGGAGTCATGGGCGGGTTATATGGGGAGGTGGGAGGGGGTGCGCTCTGCCATGAGGAAGTTCGGCTTAAAGACACGTCCCAGGGGCGTTTCTGGCCCCCAAAGGCGTTTCTGGTCCCCACCTGTTGTTTTGCTCCTCAGCATGGCTTCCTAAAAACGCTGCAGGATTTCTCAAACATGCATGAATGAGTCCGAGCAAGGTTTTGGACATGTTTTTATAAGAGTGTAACATTATAACATGATATAAAACTAAAAAAAGTTGATTTTACATGATATTGCCCCTTTAAAGAAACCAGAGAACCAGTCTGCCCCTGCCATTTCCTTCTCAGCCCAGTTTTTGTGGAAAGGAACATCATTAAAAACTGAATATTTGTATGCAAGTCTGTGGTCTTCAAGAGGAGAGAGGCCAAAATAAATATCTGAAGTGGTGATGTAATCTACCAACTCCTTTTCCTGCTCCTCATTAAATGCTAAATGATTTTTAATGTTTCCCACAGGTACTGGAGGGCACGTTTCATCTCCAGAAACTTCTGATGGACTTAGTTTTTTGTAGTATCTTGCCAGTGTTCGATATTAAACTCCTCTGCTGTACTTCTGATAGATTTGTTCAGCAGTTTCACCTCATGGACTGCCCTGAGCATCACACCAGGTGGTGTCTGGCCATAGCTGGTCTTCCTGACAAATTTTCTACCCATTTTTCTACCTAAAAACAAAGAGAACACTATATGTAACACAACGTGCCTTTACATGCAAACAGTGGGACTGGTTGTCACGTGACAACCAACCCCATCAGGGATTTTTTGTTAGCAGTTGTGCTAGCAAGCACGTTATAATCTAGCAAAGAAAAAAAACATGCTAACTATAGCTCTGCCTTTGTACTTTTAAATGCTAATTAGTATTTAAATCTTAATCCACTGTTTAAATGCAACTGAAACTGGATTAAAAAAAAAAAAAGTTACATTTTGATGTGAAAAACACAATAAGTCCTCACCTCAATGGCAAGTGTCCAACTGCTAAAATGACAATGTAGCTAGTCTGTGACAACTAATTTATAAACTCACGCACAAACATTTTTGTAACAGCGTCCTCTACTTTTACTCTCCCGATTATTGTAAGCAGTTTTATGACTTTTACTTTTTTTCCTAATCAGTGACATTATTATT